GCTCTTGCAGCTGGCCGGGGTGGGCAGTGATAAGCCAGCCCCGCTCGCACCCCTTCTCCTGCCTCTGTCACTCCTCAGCGAAGAACAAAAGGCAGCGAGAGCGGAGAGATTAGAAATGGGAGGAAAATGTGACTTTTCTTCTCCCTCGCTCAGTGCCCGGCACAAAACAAACAGCCCAGCTGGGGCCGGTGCCCGGGGGTGCTCGCCGGCTCCACGGCTGGCTGAAGCGACCGGCTGGATGCCACACAGCAAACACAGCCAGGAAAAGCAACATCTGAGCCTTCTGCACGAGTTCCCAGCAGTTAAATTTTAAGGGCAGAATTCAATTAAATTTACAAGGTTCTTAAGCCAGACCCAAGGAGCCCAAAGCTAAGGTGGGAACAGTAAACATTTATTCTAGGGGAGGGAGTTAAAAAAAAAAAATTAATTTAGAACTCCCAACCCAGAGTTTTATTCTTCAATCTGCCCAGAACTCAGCACCAGAATTAGGGCCTGTTTGGGCAGGATATGCACAAGCTGCAAGTTCTTTGAAGGAGCCTCTCAACAGCATAATTTAGCTATCTCGGAGAAACAGGGCTCTGGGTGGAGCTGTGGCTTGGTCAGTCAGTTGACAGTTGGGGTCTGAGCTGCGCGTCCTGCCCCTGCGCTCAGTGTCCCCTTGCCACCGCTGCCGGGCCACCAAGGAGAGCTGCACCGGAGAGAGCCCAGACACCTGTGTTTCGGGGCTTTTAGCCTTCAGCGGCGCTGTAATCCCTGCGCTTTGCTCCTCACCTCCTAGTGCCTTTGCATTTTCACTCTGAATACGCCACACGATAGGAGTTTGCGTCCACATTTCCCCAGCTTGGGAAGAATTAGAATACAAGGGATAGGGTTCTGCTGTTTCACAATTAGTCTCAGGCAGCATTTCTCTTTTAAAGGTAAAATCAGTTTCTCACTAAGTTTTGAAGAAAGTGCCCAAATTTCCCTAAACTCAGCGAACTAGTCAGTCAAGATAACCCTCACCCAGGCAAAGAAATGCAAACAAGTCTGAACTCCCGTTTGCAGTGGGGTGTTTTTGTTTGACAGGACAGAATCATTTCATCAGCATGTACTAGTTACAAACATAACCTTTGGGTTAGACATGACCTAAGGCAATACAAGCTGAAGTATGTGTTACAACAGCCCGAGACGTTCCTTGAGCTCGCAGCAGCGCTAGAAAAGAAGCTGAGAAAGTGGCCGTGCCTTCAGGCCCTCTGAGCACTGATGCTCTCATGCAATCACAGAGCTGGAACCGGGGTGGTTATTTTTCTGATCTTCAGTCCAATGTAGACAGGGCCTAAGCCAATTCCAACCTTTCCTTGTAATTCATAGCGTTAACTATGAACTAGAGGAGCACAACAGTCTGTGCGTGCCAGCTGGAGTTTTCCAGGTCATATCAAACCTTATGGCTAATGCACAAATGAGCTAGTCAAGCATGTTGCAAAACTGCAGCTGATTTCAGTGTGCATGAGCCTGCAGGCACGTGCCCATGCCACCACCAGATGGGTCCACGTGCAGAGCCTGTCTTGCTGTTCCCCAGCATTGCACTTATTTGAATTTGGTCTTGGGAAAGCAATAAAGCTTGGAGGTGCATGACCCTAAATCAAAAGCAGCCTTGATCCAAGGCAGTCAGCCGGGTAGCCCCCACCATGGGCTTGGCTTTCCAGGAGGTTTATAATCCTGCTAAAGCCCTGGGAAGACTGCTCCTGCTGTGGTTGCGGCACCCGACCGTAGCTGTGTACAGCTAACAAATGCACCATTTATCCCTGCGGCATCAAACTTCTCACTCGCTCAGCCCCCTGGGAAGGTTTGCACCCATACTGGTGGGGACCCCCGTCACCATCGTGTCCCCAAGGATGGAGTGGAACCTGTCTATCTATGCCCAGGTCGCAACGCTGCAGCTCCACGCGCCTCGGAGAGCCAAACACCACTGTCTCTGCCACAGAGAAGCCAACTCGCAGAAGCCCCAGGGACAGGACCTCACATGAAAGCGGATTTTTGCATTTACCTGGTCTTGCAGCAGTGTCAGCAGCCATGGGGCAGCTCTGCACTCCAGCGTTGTGTTTCTGCAGTCCCATCATGACTTTGGGGTCCGATGCCGGTGTTTGACCCGCTCAGGGCGGAGGCAGTTGCTTATAGCTGGCAGGAGAGCATTGGGGTATCGAAAATCTGTATTTCATACGTTGTCTGTGTTGGAGAGCGTCTCTTAGACTGACTAGCAGTGACAGGGAAAGGGTTCATCACGGGCAGGAGTCATCACCTCAAACAAGGTTAAATATCTGGCTGAGCAGCACCTTTCCAAATCAGCACCCAAGAGCCTGAAAGTTCCCAACTAGTAACCCTCTGCAAGTCAAAGTGAACATGAGAAAACACTGTGGACTTCACAGAGCCGCAAAAACTTAATACATTATTATTAATTAAATCAAATGGCAGCTCACCGTGGCATCTCCTGTCCCTGTTCCAGGGTGAAATCTTCCCTTTCTTCCAGAAATGCCTTAGGTAGCTCTTAAGCAACTGTGGGATTTTTTCATCACTCTGGAAAACGCTGCTATATGTAGGCCAAGTGGGATTTCAGAATATGATACTCAGGAGTGAAAACCATGCAAAATTATGCTCCTTCTATCAATCCCCCCCTCAAATGGCTCAACTCATGCAGAGCACAAAAACCCCATGAAGCTCAAAGTCACGCAGCTGGGCAAGGAAGCGTGTCCTAGGCAGCAACCCAAGACAACTGCACTAGAAACAAGTAAGAGAGTTGTTTCTGCTAAGTAAGAGAGAGAGAGAGAGACGAAATACTGATAGGCAGATGATAGGCTTTAAAAACCAACAAACTTCAGCAATATTTCACTGAAAAAGCAAAACCTGACATTGTGGGAAGGCTTCAGACTAAGCTTTGGAAGGAACGTGAACACATATGGTTCGTGGCATCGATCAGCTTCAAGCCTGCGAGGGTCAGAAAGGACCTATCCCCCCGAGCACCCTCAACCTGCCTAAACCAGCCCTGCTCCCCACATCCCCATTGGAACCAAAAAGGGTTTAGCAACAAGAAACCCAACACGAAATTGAACCCTTTATGCAGGAAAGAGCGCATGTTTATTGGCAGTAAAAACCATGGTTGGAAAAAACCTATCAGCAAAATTACACTTTTTTTTTGTTGTGGAATTTACTCCGATGCATTGTAACTTAAAAAGATCTGGAAGAACCACATGCAAAAGGGTTTCTAAGTAGCAGCTAAAGTTTCTATTCCAGCATTACAAGCTATTCCAAATGATTTCCAAATTCCCAGCTATAAACTATTCCATAAACAAACAGTTTTATCTTTAAATCCCCTCCACCCAACCCCACTCTACCCCAGTTAGTGCAGTGCAAAGGAAAAACCCAAGGAATTTACATATTATT